TTACAAAGCTCATCGTTCTGAAAAGCGAGGTGTGCTCTGATTGGCCAGCTATCCAGTGCGTTGTGATTGGCCGAATACCTCAAGCGTGTGACGGAAATGTTACGCCCCTACCATACTGTGATGCTCTGTCCGGCCGGAGCGACGATTCAAAAACATGAAAATCCATTATAAACTAGGCATTCGATCTTCTTTATGCACCAAGAGCTTGTAACACTCCAAAGAGAAAGGAAAAATTTAAATAGCATCATATGACCCCTTTAAATGCCCCATACTGTTTAGTGAGATATAATCGCAGTAAGCTGTTTATTTTCAAAAGACATCACAGTGTTTGATCAGTAGGCAAAAAAAAACAAAAAAACAGTGCACACATAGTGTATGGTATGTTTTTGATAACAGCATGCATAACCATTTATGGACTTAAAGTTGCACTCAGTAATGTTGTTGCTCATTAACATGTTTTCTTTTTCGGAGTGTCTATTTACACTAAGTGCAAATACCTGCCTTGTTGGCAGAGGCTATTTACACAAATTCTGCCCACCAACGTGTGATTGGGGCAATCAAAACTACAAAAGACGCTTGACAAATATCAAGGCCAATAGCGTAGGTTGTAAATCGTGTGCTTTTTGATGCGATCGAACCGGGTTCGAATCCTTTTTTTCCCTTTTCAAATCTCATATCACATCGGAATGGCATTTATTTTAAATAAAAATGAAGGAAATAATCAAAAAGTTGAAAATAAAGTATCGGGTAGGGTTAGGGTAGGTGTCCCAATAAGGTGGGCATCCATTTAATAATTTGAATTAAAATTATAATTTACACTCAATACGTTATTATTGCGTACTTTTTATAATGTGAGGTGCAGCAGATAATTGACACTATTTGCAAAAATTAGTATAGCAGAAAATCCTGCTATTTTAACAGTGTAAATAGATCTATAGCTATTTGCACTTATTGTAAATAGCATATCGCTAAAAAAATGCTGCTTTCACTTAGTGTAAATAGAATTCATTGGTATTTGCACTTAGTGTAAATAGCATCAATTCCTAAGAAAATATGCTATTTTCACTTTTCAGCCGCTATTACAATAGAACCCTGAAGTGCTAAAAATTCTAACTTGTTTTTTTTTTGTTTGGGCCTGCAAAAATCCCTTCAGCACAATGGCTGAATGCAAATAGAGCAATATCAAAATCAAGTAGAGCATTAGTAACTGCTAACTCATTTTTTCGTGATGGTGCATCTGCACTACTATGTGACTGTAAAGGTCCATGATGACCAGAATATCAGCAAGTTCAAGATAACAAGTTCAACATAACCAAACTACCGAGTGCACCTTTAAGGTTACATATTTCTATGCTTTCTTATTTCTCTGTTTTATGTGTCTTTATTGATAACTTTTACGTTTAACTAAAGTTTACATTTTTTAACAGAAAATCCCAGGATCAAGAAGACTATACATCTGAACTGTAAGGCACAAAAACATCCTACACATGACATATCCAACAGTATTGTAGATAAACTCTCACCATGACTGTTAAATAATTTTCAGTTGGCGATTCTGCTGGAGACATGCTTGGGCCCTCACTGATGCTGCTGCTGTTGTCATTGACTCTGGAGTTAACATGAGCACTATGGGATGCGCTTTCCATTAGTACCCTCTCTGATTCTCTGTCAGCTCCTCTGCCATCTCTCTCGCTGTCCAGCAGCTATGTTATAATCCAGGACTGAGATTGCTGCAGAGAAATATGTGCTCAGAATGAGAACGATAAACTCAACCCTCCCTGACCACCCCAACCATGTGACAACGGTTCAGCTCAGTTTGTTCCGCACTTGTTTTGTCACAATACAGTGACATATTCATGCTTTGACTTCATTTTCTATATTGTATTTGTGCACAGCTGTGTTGCAGAAAAGGATTAGAGTGAAGTGGAATGGGACGGCCCACATAGCCTACAGATAATCCTGGACATACATGACAGCTTTCATCATTCTAAACAGCTTATTGTAATGTCATTTCATTAATGTTGTTCTTTATATCCGAGCTGTTGAGTGCAAAATCACTTACTTGACTTCATGGCAGAAGGTATTGAATGTTGAGAATGAGATTCACCTACTGCATATGACCTCTAGATGACGGTATAGATCTTCAGACCAAATACCTTTTTTTTAATGCATAAAATGTCCATAGACCCTTTTGGCTGGTGTGCACTGAGAAGTTCCTCAAGCAGTTATGTAATGCATTATAGCGCATAACGTCATTATCTCTGCAGCGAACAAGGTGTGTTGCTACACGTGATACAGAATAATTAAAGGCAACTTTTGAAATTAAGTTTAATTTCTTTCTTCTATTTGTACAAAATTCGTACAAAATGTAAATGATGGTGTGACAGTTTACAACGCCCAATTAATTATTATAATAATTATAATTATAAAAATCTTCCGCTAAAAAAATACAGTGCTGAGCACATGACATGAATGACCTGAGTTGTGACGTTTGGAAAGGGCGTGTATGTCGATGCGGAATATGGCGGCAAACAAGTCGGTTGTGAGTGGTAATGAGCAATGCAAAATTATTTTTATTTTATTTTAAGCACCGCTTAGCCAATCAAATTTGGGGACACAAACACAAGTAGTTGCAACATTAAATTCTGATTGGATGAGCCATGTTCGAAGCCGCTGTCAAATTATTAACATAAGATGCTTTGCTAGATTAGGGTAGGCTAATGACCCAGCTAACAAAAATATGTTCTAAGAACGTTTTGGTAATGTTCCCATTGTTATAAAAACTAATTCTGAACGTTCTCTGAATGTTCAAAACGTCCAGTTTAAAAAAAAAAACGTAAAAAATATTTTCCCCTGGTTATTTGAACGTTAAGGGAACATTCCATTTTATAATTTTGCAAACATTATGGGAATGCTACATTAGATGAACATCCATGAACAAACATTCTATGGAAAAAAAACGATGTACATTTTGTGTTATTTTAAAGGGGTCATATGATGCGATTTCAAGTTTTCCTTTCTCTTTGGAGTGTTACAAGCTGTTTTTTGCATAGATAAGATCCCTAAAGTTGCAAAGACTAAAGTCTCAAACCCAAAGAGATATTCTTTATAAAAGTTAAGACTCTTCCACGCCCTTCTAAAACACCTCGTTCAAACATGCCCCCACATATCTACGTCATGATGTGGGAATATTTGCATAACGCCGCCCAAATGTTCACGCAAAGAAAGAAGGCGTAACTTTGATTCTCGCTGTAGTATTGTTGCCGCCGCCATATTGTGGAGACGCTGTGTGTTAGAGGAGAAACAATAATGTACAGTATGTGGAAAATAATGTTTTTTGAACCTTAAAACGCAAAATAATGTTCTTTTTAGCAACGTCATATGACCCCTTTAACATCATTAAAGACCAGAAAAGGCCTACTGGAGGAACGTTTGTTCATAACATTGAGATAGATAACCTTGCCAGAAGTTTTGCTAGTGAGATTAACCTTTTTTTCAATCACTATAATAGATTTTTATTAAGCGCAGTGCCGTTTTTCACATTAAGTTGAAGAGCAGCATTAAATTTCAGAGATATTGTAAATAGCCTAAATGCCGCGTAAGGATGTTTGAAAGTTGGATGACAAAACAGCACATTACTAATGAGTCTCACAGCAGTTTACACGATGAGCCCCTTTAAGTCTTTAACAGTGCATGACTTAACGTATAATGAGAGGATAACAGTGTAGCATAAATTATGAATAAATGTTTCACTAATTATCTCTCTCAATCTTCGTACGACACTTGAGTTCCGTCCCGCCTCTTGAGATAAAGCGCACGGAGACTGGCTGATATTATACCGTTCTCCATGCGAGAGAGAGAGAGAGAGAGAGAGAGAGAGAGAGAGAGAGACGTTTCACATGTGACAGTTCTTCATTCGTAGGTAGGTAAGACACTTGGCACGCTGATGGACCTCCTCTGTTAGACCTGCTCGCACTTTAAGGGACTTTCTTCTTACAGACCAGGAGAGCAGGACGCATTTCCAGTTACTCGGAGAACTTCAGCGTGCCTTTTGACAGCTGACAAGTTACAGGCACATTCGCTTCTTACGAGCTTGTTTTATTCCACAAACTTGATAGAAGATCGGACTATCTGAAAGTCATGATGGAGATGAAGGTGCTGGGATGCGCGTTGCTTTTTCCTCTCCAGATCTTATTTTGCTTATTGAGGGCGATCGTGCGCTTCTTTACGCGCCAGAAGCGCAGAGATCTGGGCACTGATGTGGTCCTCATCACTGGAGGTGGAAGAGGAATCGGCCGTCACCTGGCTAAAGAGTTTGCCAAGCAAGGAGCAAGAAAGGTAAGGCTGCGTTAGCGTTTTTATTCAGTGAAACGCAATTCATTACGATGTTATCTACTCACATGCTCTTTGTAATTAAAAAAATAAAAACATTTGAGTGCTTTCCATTTCAGTCTTGATCAAGGACCGCCTATAGAAAAGGAATTTGAGCTTTTTAAAGCAGTTTTAAAAGTCTTTAAAAAAAATAAATCTATTAGTATATAATGTATTGTGAAATGTAAACTTCCAAAGCGCAATCTGATGTTAGTCTCGCGCAACACAAATTGTAATTTGGCGCCACTAACTCGATTAGCTAAACAAACGTATTTATCTACAAAACTATTTTTTAACAGAACAATAAGGTTTTGTGATATAGGCATATAATAAAGTTAAACATAACAAGGCTATTTATCGATGTAACCCCGCCTTAGTAACGGAAAGCGCGCAGGCGGCGTACCGTTGTTATGGTTACCTCATCTGGAGAATGCCACTTCTGTTCGTTAGCGTCTACAGGTAATTGGCGACAGGTGAAAATACGCCCTGTTTTTAACATCACTTTCAAAATTGCTCACTTGCTGACATGGATTAAGTTATAACATTTCACAGCACTCCTACAATACTCACACATAGGGCCTACGTTTTAAAGTAAGAAAGAGAAATAGAAAAGGAATCAGCTCAGATCTATGTGCCTATAAGAAATTCCAAATGTGAATAGGACATTTTTCTGTTACATAATTGATCGGTTTGTTTATTATTTCAGCATTACTGACAACCAAACAAAACCAGTAAGGGTTGTGTTTATCTGATTTATTCACATTGCAGTAAACACACCTTTTTGGTTATGTAAATACACTTTGAAATGGCCGAGTTTGTCCTGATGGGGCACAGTATGGTTTTCCAGTCAGCGCAGTCAACAGAATGTAGTGACCTGTTGCTACCCTGAAGCCTTGAGTTCTGTTTCATATTCCTCCTGCACACAAACACAGGTGTTTCCTAAGCCTTTATGTCTTTACAAATGCCTAACAGTGGGCTGCTGACAGGCACGGCTGTTTTGTTGAACTCAAATCATGTGTGACTCTTTAACCTTCCAGGGAAGTTCAAACTCCCCAGTCGTACAGGATGAACTGTCACAAATCATCTTGTTTATTATGATTATTGTTAATGAATATAAAACTGATTTAAACTTACTATATCACTCTTCCCAAGAACAGAGTAACACCAGTAAAAGCACAAGCATCAAGTGTCAGGAACACAGTAATAGTGTGCGTGTGAGGGACTGAATGTATATGTGCTGCATTCATGTGTGTGAATGTGCACCCAACATGTGTAGGTGTGTGAATGGATCAATTGCAAGGGGGTGTAGTAGGCAGAGAAGCACCTTGCAGATTGGTTACCACAACCAAGTTCATTGGCAGGTCAGCCAGATTTGCAGTGCAGGGCTGATGATGTCATTTGTGTTATTGTGTGGGCTGCTTACGGCTGAATCCCAGAGGAACAGAATCAAACGGAAAGCCAACGGAGCTGAAGCTGTGTATGAAAGTCAAGTCAAGCAGACACAAGTTAGGCCTCCTCAATTAAATATTGATCAAATATGTGTTTTATTTCCCTAAGAGAGGATTAAAATAGGATGAAAATCTTTCACATCTTTTCCCTATAATCTACTGCATTAGTCTGTGAGTTTAGAAATCTTGAACAGCATTAAAATATTCTAAAATGTACATTTATAATTATGAAGTTCTACAAAGTTTATGTAAATGATGAAGGATGAGGTATAAAGGTGGGAAGGTAAAGGTGAATAGAGGCTGGCACTCCCATGCTCCCAGCTGGGCTTTGGCCCATGCCTGACCCCTCTGGGCCAGCACTAATGAGGGGGCGTTAGGCTGCCCCTGCCCGTGTCTCCCGGTGGCTCTGTTGCTTGAACTTTTACTGATAATGGGACACTCACCATGTGCTGTTTGTGACATTGGTGGGACATGAGTCAGGCAGTATGTCACATGAGAAAGCTCATCTGTTGCTTGCTTGCCCTATTTCACTCTGTCCCTCTCAAAATTATATTTTATATAAAGAAAATTAAGCCAATTTTAGTACTATTAACACTTTTTTCTTTTTTTAATTGCACTGTGACTATATATTGTCCTACGTAGGGTTGTGGGGATAATGGAGCCTCTCCAGAATTTCAAGCCATAGGTAAGGAAACACCCTGGATGCATAGTTTTATTTTATTTTATTTCATTTCATTTCATTTTATTTTATTTTCCAGTTGTCCTATGTAGGGTTACCAGAGATGCTGTAGCATTTTCCTGGCAAGCAGGGAAATACCCTATTTACAGTGTAGCATAAATTATGAATAAATGTTTCACTAATTATCTCTCTCAATCTTCGTACGACACTTGAGTTCCGTCCCGCCTCTTGAGATAAAGCGCACGGAGACTGGCTGATATTATACCGTTCTCCATGCGAGAGAGAGAGAGAGAGAGAGAGAGAGAGAGAGAGAGACGTTTCACATGTGACAGTTCTTCATTCGTAGGTAGGTAAGACACTTGGCACGCTGATGGACCTCCTCTGTTAGACCTGCTCGCACTTTAAGGGACTTTCTTCTTACAGACCAGGAGAGCAGGACGCATTTCCAGTTACTCGGAGAACTTCAGCGTGCCTTTTGACAGCTGACAAGTTACAGGCACATTCGCTTCTTACGAGCTTGTTTTATTCCACAAACTTGATAGAAGATCGGACTATCTGAAAGTCATGATGGAGATGAAGGTGCTGGGATGCGCGTTGCTTTTTCCTCTCCAGATCTTATTTTGCTTATTGAGGGCGATCGTGCGCTTCTTTACGCGCCAGAAGCGCAGAGATCTGGGCACTGATGTGGTCCTCATCACTGGAGGTGGAAGAGGAATCGGCCGTCACCTGGCTAAAGAGTTTGCCAAGCAAGGAGCAAGAAAGGTAAGGCTGCGTTAGCGTTTTTATTCAGTGAAACGCAATTCATTACGATGTTATCTACTCACATGCTCTTTGTAATTAAAAAAATAAAAACATTTGAGTGCTTTCCATTTCAGTCTTGATCAAGGACCGCCTATAGAAAAGGAATTTGAGCTTTTTAAAGCAGTTTTAAAAGTCTTTAAAAAAAATAAATCTATTAGTATATAATGTATTGTGAAATGTAAACTTCCAAAGCGCAATCTGATGTTAGTCTCGCGCAACACAAATTGTAATTTGGCGCCACTAACTCGATTAGCTAAACAAACGTATTTATCTACAAAACTATTTTTTAACAGAACAATAAGGTTTTGTGATATAGGCATATAATAAAGTTAAACATAACAAGGCTATTTATCGATGTAACCCCGCCTTAGTAACGGAAAGCGCGCAGGCGGCGTACCGTTGTTATGGTTACCTCATCTGGAGAATGCCACTTCTGTTCGTTAGCGTCTACAGGTAATTGGCGACAGGTGAAAATACGCCCTGGTGGTAGTAATATCACTATCAAAACTGCTCAGTTGCTGACATGGATTAAATAAGATATATATATAAAAAAAATTGACAGCACTCCTACAATACTCACACATAAGTTATAAAGTAAGAAAGAGAAATAGAAAAGGAATCAGCTCAGATCTATGTGCCTATAAGAAATTCCAAATGTGAATAGGACATTTTTCTGTTACATAATTGATCGGTTTGTTTATTATTTCAGCATTACTGACAACCAAGCAGAACTAGTAAGGGTTGTGTTTACTTGATTTATTCACACTGCAGTAAACACCTTTTTTGGCTATCTATATACACTTTGAAATGGTCGAGTTTGTCCTGATGGGGCACAGTATGGTTTTCCAGTCAGCGCAGTCAACAGAATGTAGTGACCTGTTGCTACCCTGAAGCCTTGAGTTCTGTTTCATATTCCTCCTGCACACAAACACAGGTGTTTCCTAAGCCTTTATGTCTTTACAAATGCCTAACAGTGGGCTGCTGACAGGCACGGCTGTTTTGTTGAACTCAAATCATGTGTGACTCTTTAACCTTCCAGGGAAGTTCAAACTCCCCAGTCGTACAGGATGAACTGTCACAAATCATCTTGTTTATTATGATTATTGTTAATGAATATAAAACTGATTTAAACTTACTATATCACTCTTCCCAAGAACAGAGTAACACCAGTAAAAGCACAAGCATCAAGTGTCAGGAACACAGTAATAGTGTGCGTGTGAGGGACTGAATGTATATGTGCTGCATTCATGTGTGTGAATGTGCACCCAACATGTGTAGGTGTGTGAATGGATCAATTGCAAGGGGGTGTAGTAGGCAGAGAAGCACCTTGCAGATTGGTTACCACAACCAAGTTCATTGGCAGGTCAGCCAGATTTGCAGTGCAGGGCTGATGATGTCATTTGTGTTATTGTGTGGGCTGCTTACGGCTGAATCCCAGAGGAACAGAATCAAACGGAAAGCCAACGGAGCTGAAGCTGTGTATGAAAGTCAAGTCAAGCAGACACAAGTTAGGCCTCCTCAATTAAATATTGATCAAATATGTGTTTTATTTCCCTAAGAGAGGATTAAAATAGGATGAAAATCTTTCACATCTTTTCCCTATAATCTACTGCATTAGTCTGTGAGTTTAGAAATCTTGAACAGCATTAAAATATTCTAAAATGTACATTTATAATTATGAAGTTCTACAAAGTTTATGTAAATGATGAAGGATGAGGTATAAAGGTGGGAAGGTAAAGGTGAATAGAGGCTGGCACTCCCATGCTCCCAGCTGGGCTTTGGCCCATGCCTGACCCCTCTGGGCCAGCACTAATGAGGGGGCGTTAGGCTGCCCCTGCCCGTGTCTCCCGGTGGCTCTGTTGCTTGAACTTTTACTGATAATGGGACACTCACCATGTGCTGTTTGTGACATTGGTGGGACATGAGTCAGGCAGTATGTCACATGAGAAAGCTCATCTGTTGCTTGCTTGCCCTATTTCACTCTGTCCCTCTCAAAATTATATTTTATATAAAGAAAATTAAGCCAATTTTAGTACTATTAACACTTTTTTCTTTTTTTAATTGCACTGTGACTATATATTGTCCTACGTAGGGTTGTGGGGATAATGGAGCCTCTCCAGAATTTCAAGCCATAGGTAAGGAAACACCCTGGATGCATAGTTTTATTTTATTTTATTTCATTTCATTTCATTTTATTTTATTTTCCAGTTGTCCTATGTAGGGTTACCAGAGATGCTGTAGCATTTTCCTGGCAAGCAGGGAAATACCCTATTTTATTTTATTTTATTTATTTATTTATTTTTATTATTATTTTTTTTTTTACAGTTGTCCTGTGTAGGGTTGCAAGAGATGCTGTAGCATTTTCCTGGCAAGCAGGGAAATACCCTATTTTATTTTATTTTATTTATTTATTTATTTTTATTATTATTTTTTTTTTTACAGTTGTCCTGTGTAGGGTTGCAAGAGATGCTGGAGCATTTTCCTGGCAAGCATTAAATTAAATTTTTTATTAAATTAAATTAAATTAAATTTTGTTTTATTTTGTTTTGTACTGTCACAATGCAAAAAAAAAATTTGTGGTGACCCGGACATGTTCTTGACAGGTTATGTGAGATTCCCCCACACTAATGCTCTCCCTTGAGAGGCTTTGAATACTGAAGGGTTCCTCAGAAGGTCAGAACATGTGGCTGTTTTATGTGTGTATGTTTGTTTATGAGGTGGATTGAGATTGACAGGATGGGGAGGGGATGGACTCATCCTTGTGTTCATTACCTCTCGCTGACCTTGCTGAGTGATGGATCTAATAGCCAGAGAGTTAACCGACCTACACAGCCTGACCCTGTCCTCTATCACTCTCACTGGCTCTCCCTAAACCTCGTGTACAATGATAAGGAAATACTTCATTCAGTAACTCCTTAGAGGGCTCAACCTATACATCAATGTGTAGCAATCATGCATAATACATCACAGAGTTGGAGAGAGTTGTCCCTCAGCTTACAATGTAAAAACTCCTCCTGTTGTCTTGAAAATTGTAAATGATGTTCTGCATTTACTTTACACCAATCATGACTTTCCTCCCTCAGGTGATTTTGTGGGGCCGCACAGAGAAATGTTTAAAAGAGACATGTGAGGAGATCTCCATGACTGGAACAGAGTGCCATTACTTTGTGTGTGACGTGGGCAACAGAGATGAAGTGTACCAGCAGGCCAAAGTGCTCAGGGAAAAGGTATATTTAAACACTTCATGCCTTGTCTCGAGATCAAAAAAGATATTTTAGCCAAAAGGACTTTACATAGAGTGACCCCGTCTTAAACAGCTAGTCCTGTGGCTTTTGCTCGGGTACATCCATTCACAAGACTGTAAGGTGTCTTATTTGTCATTTTAGGTTTCAGAAGGGTGCTCTCTAGCACCCCCTTTGTGGCTGCTAGGGTCTAGGCTAGGGATTTTCAAGTATTTTAATGCCGAAGACACCAATTCTGTATATAGTGCTTTCTTGTGTGTGGACCCTTGTTCATGTTGTTTTCTAAATTAAATAATTGCATTATTTATATTATTCTATATTATTTATACTTATTTTACATAATGTTGCTATAATTTTTGTTTCATTTTATTTTTACATGATTTTATTACATTTTTTTCTGCATTGGTATCAGTTTGGAAAACTTTTTTTTCTCCTAATTTAAACAATTGCCTTCTTTACATGTTATTTTTAAAAAAAAATTTTTTTTCATTTTTTCCCCTATATTTTTCTCTTCTTTGGTATCTATTGGGGTACCATGTTAAATTAAACAATTGCATATTTGTATATTGTTATTTAAAGATTTAAATAAGGCACAAAATCACTTTCACGGACTTTTACATTAACTGTTCCCTCCTGGTGGAATGACCTGCCCAACTCAACCCGAGCAGCTGAGTCCTTAGCCATCTTCAATAATCGGCTAAAAACACATCTCTTCCATCTTTATTTGACCCTCTAACTCTAGCAAGCGGGCCCATAATAGAGCCTTGAGGTACTCCACTAATAATAGAAGCAGAAGATGAAGAGAACTTACCCAACTCTACAGAAAAAGACCCGTATTTAAGATATGAGCTGAACCATTGTAAGGCAGTACCACTGATACCGATCAAATGCTCTAAACAAAACCACACTGTATTTTGTTTTGCCTACAAAACCACCACTGGCTCTGCACCCATTTACCTAAATTCATTACTTCAGAGTTATGTGCCCTCTAGAAGCTTGCGTTCTGCAAGTGAACGTCGCTTTATTGTTCATCCCAAAGAGGCACAAAATCACTTTCACTGACTTTTACATTAACTGTTCCCTCCTGGTGGAATGACCTGCTCAACTCAATCCGAGCAGCTGAATCCTTTGCCATCTTCAAGAATCGGCTAAAAACACATCTCTTCCATTTTTATTTGACCCTCTAACTCTAGCACTCTCTATTCTAATTCTATTCTTTAAAAAAAAAAAAAAACTTTTTAGACTTCAATTATATTCATTTACTAACTGTTCTATCTATTACATCTATTTGTTTTCTTTTTATTTATTATACAATTAACAAAAGCAAAAAAGGCCTCTAACACTAGCTTGCTCTATTCTTTTTCTATTCTTTTTATTTATTTTATAATTTACAAAAAAAAACTTGCTACGTGTGCTGCGTTAAGCTAACTGAGACTTGTTATAGTACTTATCATTGCTCTTTTGTTGATTTTGATTGCTTCCATTGTCCTCATTTGTAAGTCGCTTTGGATAAAAGCATCTGCTAAATGACTAAATGTAAATGTAATAATTTATCAAATTAAAACGCATTATATATATATATATATGGCATCTATTATTGTTATCTTTTCTTTTCCTTGGAACCAAAATAATACAATTTTACTTATCCACACAGTAAATTTTACTCTAAATGGATGCGATGTGGTCTCACACAGGTCGGGGATGTCACCATTCTTGTCAATAATGCAGCTGTTGTCCATGGAAAAAGTCTTATGGACAGTGACGATGACGCACTCCTGAAAACCCAGCACATAAACACACTTGGACAGTTCTGGGTAAGAGACTAATCAATATCTTAACTTATTCTCTGCTCGCATGACTGTCAATTTATTGCAGTGCAGTAACCGTGCTTTGAACCTAACATGAACTCTAGATACTCCTTTGTGTCTTGCAGAACATTTTTCATTTACTTAACGTTAAGTCACTTGGCATGCTGTAATTCTTGGAAGCGTTCCTCATCATTTAAGCATGTTTTTGCCAAGAGAGAAAACGTAACACCGACAAATTCCTCACATAGAAGAGTCAGAGACAAAAATACAAGAGAGATTCACAAACAAAAGCGAATGGTCCTAAAAGAACTGGTGGAATAGTTAAAGTTAAACGTTTTGAAGAAAATGGACTGCTCAGATTGAAGATCTAGGCTACACACAGTCATGCTTTTTAGGACACATTCGTAGTCAATGAGAACAAGAGCTGATCATCTGAGACTTAGCTGCAGTAGTAGCTCACGCTGAGGATTGCTGTAATATATTGTTGCTCTAATCTCAAACACATGGCGTTTTCTGAATGCCAGTTTTACATAGAGTCCATCATCTGACTTGAGATCAAACACTGAATGTGGGCTCATATTTCTGCTGAGCCAGTCAGATATGCTTGTTGACGTTCACCAAAGGTAGTCTAGAGAATACTAGACAATTAACACATTCCCGACCCCGAAATTCCGAAGCTTTCATTGTTATTGTTGGATTTTCCAGAAGATGGTTGAGGGAACAGAACAATGTGTAATTGTGTCTGTCTCCCCCACAGACCACGAAAGCATTTCTGCCTCGCATGCTGGAGCTCTGCAACGGCCACGTGGTGTGCATTAACTCCATTCTCTCCCTCTCCTCCATCCCTGGAGCCATCGACTACTGCACGTCCAAGGCCTCGTCTTATGCCTTCATGGAAAGCCTGACGCTAGGCCTGCTGGACTGTCCAGGAGTGGGCTGCACCACGGTGCTTCCCTTCCATACTGACACAGAGATGTTCCAGGGCATGAGAGTTAGGTAATGAGCTGCTGGTGCTGATAAACATGAAGACCTAGTTGAAATTTAAAAAAGTGGTCCATCATTTAATGAATTCATGTTTTAGGTTCCCTAAGCTGTTTCCTCCTCTGAATCCTGAGATGGTGGCCGAACGCACTGTAGAAGCTATAAAGACCAACACTGCCTTTGTTGTCCTGCCATGGACCATGCACTTTCTGGTCATCCTTAAGAGGTGAGACTATCACTGTTGTTGGAATCAGAGCAGAATTACATATTTTTATCCACAATTCATTATTTCATAAAAACATTATTCATTATTCTATGCATTATATATTACATATTTCAATTGGCTGCACATAACTTCTTGATTTTTTTCACAGTCTTTTGCCCCAGTCTGCCCTGGAAGAGATCCATAAGTTTTCAGGAAGCTACACCTGTATGAACACATTCAAAGGACGGACTTAAACTTAGAAGCAGTGTGACTGTGAAAAATCCTCAAAACCAGTTTTTTAATGCAAAGCAAGCACTACGTCCAGGAACACCAATGTGTTGCTTTGTGGACGCAAAAAAAAAAAAAAAGACTGTGAAAGGTTCATTGGGAACAGCGAATCAAGATGGCTTGTTTTCCCAGGAACTGTTATGTCTGCGAGTTTTATGTGGATACATTTGGATTTGTTGCCCTATACTGGACTGCACACAGGCATGTAGGTGAACGTGTTCTTTGGATATTTGTGATAGTAAGGAGCACAGACTGTTACAGTTAAAGGGATAGTTTACCCAAAAATGAAAATTACCCCATGATTTACTCACCCTCAAGCCATCCTAGGTGTATATGACTTATACAATTAGAGTTATATTTAAAAAATGTCCTGACTCTTCCAAGCTTTATAATGGCCGTGAATGGTGCTTGAGATTTTGAAGCCCAAAAAAGTGCATCCATCCATCATAAAAAGTGCTCCACGCTGCTCCGGGGGATTAATAAAGGCCTTCTGAAGCAAATCGATATGTTTGTGTAAGAATAATATCCATATTTAAAACTTTAGAAACCATAATCTCTAGCTTCCGCTAACTGTCGTACTCGTGTTCACAAGAGAGTGGCATTCCAGCAAAACAAAACACCAGTCATGAATTCACTCATTTATAAACTAAGAAATAAATTTGAAATACAATTTGAGACTAGAAACTCATCACTGATCATCCATCATGGAAGGTTGCTGTCACGTCACGTGACAAAATAATGAACGACTCGAAAGGTGAACTAATCAATTCTCTTTCCAGCTCAGACTGCGTTGGTTAAGCTTATGGGGCTGTCACGTGATGAACCAACGACTCAAACCCGAAGACTTGTCAGATAAGGTGAGGTGAGCTAGCATAGACTAAAGATCCAAGTAAACAATGAATTAATATTTTCTGTTTCTTATAGCATTATAGTTTTGTCTTGTTTGTAGTGTGATCAATGTTTGCGTAAGTAGTAGATATGTTTGGGAAGTAACACGTAACATTTGAATTACATTTTGCTAAAATGAACGAAATGACTCGAAAAAAGATTCGTTCAATTTGCTGAACGAGACACAAAGATCCGAGTCGGTAAAATGAACCGAACTTCCCATTACTAACCCCCTGGAGCCGTGTGGAGCACTTTCTATGATGGATGGATGCACATTTGGCTTCAAAATCTCAAGCAACATTCATTATAATTATAACATTAATAATCATTATAAAGATTGGAAGAACCAGGACATTTTTTAATGTAACTCCATTTGTATTCGTCTGAAAGAAGAAAGTCATATACACCTAGGCTTGAGGGTGAGTAAATCATGGGGTAAATTTCATTTTTGGTTGAACTATCCCTTTAATAATTAAATGGTTCTTACAATGCTCTGAGGTTTTCATCGGGGCCTGTTTGCCCTTGTAAGATGTGACTTGGGAGTTTTATAGATTTTCACTGATTTTAAGAACATTTTTGTAACAAAGTCAGTCAAGTCTTCAAATACATACGGCAAATGTATATACTTTTTCAAATATTTATATTTTTTAAGTTGCTAATATAAAATATATTTACATAAACATTAAATTTCAATAAGTTTGAGCTGTTTTCTCATTTAGCTTTTGGCCATTTTATATATTTCAATCCAAATATAATACTGTCCAAAACATACATTTTTGCAAGTGTATGTTGGAAGTGTATGTTCTTTCTCAAAGTATATTTTGTAATGTATTTTGGTTTGAACTACATTTTTTTTTATTTAAGCAGTACTGTTTACCACATATATTACAAATATATTTTGGCCAGGGAAAAAAAAATATATTTTTTGCCGTATGGGACTTGTTTAAAGTAATTCCAGCATGTCTATCTTCATATTACTGTCGACTTCAAATAAACAGTATTTGAGCTTAAAAAAACCATGGTGAGTGTTATTTTGTGGGTGTTCATGTTGGTTTGAAAACAGGGACGTGTCAGTCCCTGGCAGTGTGCTTGTTCTGTCTCTGCCAAAACTCACAGGCATTTCATGGTCAGCATTCCACCACTGCAGGCCAGCCAATCTTGAGCTCATTGTACACTAGGCAGGGTTGTCATAACACTAACTCCGCTAAACAGGAAAGCACACTGGAGAGGGGTCAGCCACTGGAAGGCTAATAGATGAATCTAGCACTTGTCATTTTATTCAGCTTTGTCACTCACACCTAGCTGAACGGCTGATGTTCACTGTCGATGCAGCTGTATCGCACCAAACAGATGGTAATGCAGTGCCTGTTCACAATTTTCTCCTACGCCTCGATTGGCCAAATTGGATGCGAGATCTAAGACTGTGTAACCTCATAAAATCAAATCTACAGGCAGATGTTTTTTTCTTTCGGCGTCTCTCCCTCGGATTCTTTCCATGCGGTGCATCCCTGCTGCAGTATTAGAAGACAATAGAGTGTTATCAAAGCACACTGGGGACTGAAACTGACATACAACAGGCACGAAGCAGCTATTGCAATTATGTGATTACCAATTCACATCACATTCTTCATTCTACACTCTGCTGTTATTTTGTGGCTGAAAGGAAAAGTTACTTTCTGATTAACTATATAAAATAAATAATGTACGCTGTGGGGCTGGGGGAATAATCACCAAAAATGTTGTATAACACAAATGACAAAAACTGAAGAATGAGACTTGGCATGTCTAATGGCAATGATGGACACTGTTGAGAGTGGGATCAGGACATGAAACTGTGTCATGGAGTGCATGTGTGTTGGAGAAGTCAGCTCAAATCTCAGGGGGTGAGTTCAGAGCAAGGTTAGCCAAATAGTAGATAAATCTGAGTAGGTTGTTGGACAGACAGCTCACCCTGTGATGAACCCTTTGCCCAGGAAAAAGAACTGCTTAATGTGACCCAGCACAGGTGGAAAAGAAGTAGAAATGGGTACTAGGAGAATTGGTAGGGCACATGGTAACTCGTCCCTATTGTAACAGATAACTTCAGGGATGCTGAACATATGCCATTAGCTTTCACAGGTTTGTGAGATCATATTTGAACCAGATTTTGTCAGACTGGTCTGTGTTACCACATATTGTAGTTGTTTGTTTGAACCCATGTGTTTCTTATGACAGCATCTCATTAACGAAAGCACGCTTACGTCTATGCAGTGCATGAATGCTAAATGTTAGCAATAGTATTGTCCTTGTCAATGTTATTCGTCCAAGCAGGGCAGGGTTGTGTGGCCACTGCTCATCCATCTTTAAATAATGAGTGTGTCACCCTGAGGGAAGAGATCATTGATCTGACATCACACTGTCAGTCAAGAAGAAGAACGTAGACAGTCCCTGCGTCCCAATGTGCATACTATCTGCCCTAAATAGTATTGAAAATTAGTAATAGAATTTAGGATAGTATGCACATTGGGACGCAGGCAAAGTGTTTGAAAATGCAGCCGTGTTTAACTAAAAGAAACTTCTTTAAAATTCAAAATTAAATGTTACAGAAAACTTGTGTATAATGCCAAAGATTTTATCTCATTTTAAATACATTTTGATATCTTTAAATCACTGTTTTATTGACAACTAAAATGTACCATTATAAGCAAATTATCGTTTCTTACATCTCGCGATAATAAACACGGCGCGAACTAACTAGTTCGCGGCTTAGCGCCGTTTTTGTACTTGGCGCGAAATAACCGCCAATTAGCAAGCAGCATTAGCAACCAGCGCAGAAATGGAGACTTTAATTTAAAAAGGCTTGAGCAAACATTGGTAAAGTCTAGATGCTAAAAAACGATTTAAAAGTTAAACTATAGGATTTCAGCCCACAAACATGGAGGTTCATCCAATCTCACAGAAGGTAAGCAGAAATAATCCTTCTTAGCATATTTATTATGAGGGAAAAGTTGACATTTTCTGATACACAAAGCAGAAACACTGGATAAAGCACATGTAAAGAAGAACTATAAGGCAGCCTATCAGGTCATTCTACAGAAATGTCCACTTTTGGTATGGCAAATGTCTTAAAATGTATATCTTTTTTTAACATTTAAACTTAGACCACATTATTAGATTACATTTTGACTTTATGAATACACATAAATGACAGCTTGTAGCTTGTAATCTTTTTTGTGCATTTATTTAAAGACCACATACCATTTTTTTTTGTCACTGGTGTTAGCTTACTTCTTTGGCAATTTTAGAGTTTTGTATGAAATATTATTTCTCGATTTTTTTCAGCACATGTAGTCAGAGTTACAGAAAAATAATAATAATGCAAAAATAAGGAGATTGTTTTTTTTATTTTAATCAGGTTTGTTAAAAGTGTGATTGTATGATGTTAGTTCATTTGCGCAACCATGTATTTGTTATAACAATGAAAATATTTGGGAAAAAAAACAAGTAATTATGCAATCCTTTAAATCTCTAAACTCTTGAGTAGCAGAATTTATTGGATGTAAAATTATCATGCCACATGTGACATTTTATTTAATGTGATAGAAAAAAAACACAGTAACACCAGTGACACAATGAATCACCAGTGACATACATTAGACCAAAGATCCTTATTCTTCAACTATAATTATTAGAGGAGACTAAATTGTTACATTTGGCATTTAGTGAAAGCAGTAAAAGAACATAAACATAAACTGATCTTCACTGGTGTTACCCATAAGGAAGGTAACACCAGTGACAA